AGACTGACCCAGGGAAGATGCCCACACAGGCCTTGGAAATGGGCTCAGGGCTATTCATGAAGGGAATCCCAAGGCCCAGGAGCACGATCTAGAGTATGAGTCAGATACACCAGATGGGCACATTCCATTGACTTCAAGGATTCCCCACCTTGTGGAGAGGGATCTCTCTAGAAGAGACAGAGCAGGATCCTCTAAAGTGGGACCCAAATCAGGAGTCCCTCTTGCTGGAGCCTGAGGGTCATAATGTAAATGTGTAGGCTAAGCCCTATTCTCACTATCATTCTCATCCCTAGCACTCTCCTCAGACCCCCAGTGGCCAGGCCACGAAGAGAACTCTTCATGTCTATCATTTAGTCCATAAGTCATAAAAAATTATCCTTGATCCCATGTCTTTTTTTAGAGCCTTGGACAGAGAGAAGCAAAAATATCCCAAACTCACACTGAGTTGTTTCCCTTCACATCTCTTAGCAGTCACTGAAAGGTGATCAGAGACTCAGGTTGGGTTTCTATCCTCTGGCACTGAAGTGACAAAGTTGACCTCACAGTCAACCCTAGAATCCAGAGAGAAATCTCAGACCCTCCTCCCTACTACTAGATGGCACACTGTGTTTTGGGGACTTGCGTGCTCAAAATGTTAGCTATGACAAAAGGTTTTGAGTCTTAAGACACCCCAAGTAACTTTTACTTTAGGAATTTGAAATACAGCCTCACTACGATGCTGTCTCCCTAACAAAGTAGTACCTTTAAAATATTTAACAACTTGAAAAGGAAACCAAGCTTGGATTTTCCTTTCAGACGCTAAGGAAATAGTGTTTCACTTCTGTCTGCAATTCACCATCTCCTCAGACAAAGAAGGCTCTTATGGTAAAAGCAATGACATTTTCTCCACAATTTTCAAATAAAAGATAAAGAGAAAACAGCATTGCAGGCTTTTTGTTAGGATCTAACAATAAAGGAATAATACGGTTTTGCCAGGGGAGAGCTCTGGTTTTAAGCTCAGAATACAAAAATAGTTACACTGACAAATTTTACAAAAGAACATCCTCAGTTACCACTCTGAGGCTGGCAGAAAGCGAAATTTCAAGAAAATTATATTATTTGATTATTTGATGATGATGGAGTCGACAGGACCAGTCCTATGTGTGATTCTCAAGTAGGAGAAATGTGATTTCAGTTTTTCTGCTAACCCCTGTCCTCACCCTCACCCTAGTCTCTATCTCAATCCACACTTGACCTCCAGGAAAGGAATGGGAGTCGGCCATCCTTGTATATAGTTCCCCATACCTGGAATATTCTCCCCATACAGTCCAGCCTCCTTTTGCTCTGCTAACTTTTCCTACGGCTTCTTCTGGCTACTTCCAAAGAACCTTCCATGGTGCTGTCCACCCTCTGAGTAATAGCACCCTGGGCCGGGTGCAGTGACTGATGCCTGTAATCTTAACACTTTGGGAGGTTGAGGCAAGAGTATCACTTGAGCCCAGGAGTTGGAGACCAGCCTGGGCAACACAGCAAGACCTCATCTCCACAAAAAAAAAAAAAAAAAAAAAAAAAGAGCCAGGTGTGGTGGCACACGCCTGTAGTCCCAGCTACTCAAGAAATTGAGGTGGAATGATCGCCTGAAACCCAGGAAGTCAAGGCTGTGGGGAGCCGTGATTATGCCACTGTACTCCAGTCTGGGTGAGAGTTCGACCCTGACTCAAAAAAACAAAAAACAGCACCCCCCCCAAAAAAACCCAACAGCACCCTTAACTCTCCCTACACTACACTCACTATAACTGGTTTATAATTGTTTTTAACGTCCCCTGCCCAATTATTGTCTGTCAGAGCAGAAACCATGTGTATTTTCTTTAGTATTTAAATCTCCACGACTATCCTTGGATTGGCACATAATAAGTCTAATTTAATAAAGGAATGAGTGAATTAATTAATGAAAACTTAATCCAGTATATTGCCACTCTCAGGATATTTGGATTAACTTTCATTGACGAGTAAGAAAGCATTTGCCCTTCTGAAGGAATCATAAGCTTAATGGGAGAGTATTTGGAGAAAGAAAGCACTGTAACATATTTTTTTAGGTTGCCTACCCTGCTGTAGTTAGAGTTCCCTGATATGGAGTGGGTGGAGATTGGGAATAAAATTGGGTAATTTCACATAAGTGGAGAAATTAGGGTTTGAGCTCAAATTGGTTTGACCTAAATCAAAGGATTATGATAAGGACTTGTAAGAAGAAAGGAATACAAAAAAACCACAGGAATATTATCTGAAACACCAGGGACATGTTATTTAAAAAAAAAACAAAACTAGGAATAGCCACCAATTAGTAAACATTTACATGTGTCAGTTACAATGCCAAACGCTAATTATGCATTATAGTCCCTAACATACAAAAAGCACGTTTGTAAATCCAATTCATTTTAAGTCCAACAAAGTTAGCCTAAATACCCAACTAACACAATCGACTATATTGTACTATATGTATTTAATAGGCTATAGTTATTTCTGGTGATGAGAAATAATAGATAAAAAATGCAGGCTGGGCACGGTGGCTCACGCCTATAATCCCAGCACTTTGGGAGGCTGAGGTGAGAGGATTATCTGAGCCCACAGGTTCGAAACCAGCCTGGGCAACTTGGTGAGACCTCATCTCTACAACAAATCAAAAAATTAGCTGGGTGTGGTGGCGTGTGCCTGTAGTTCAAACTACTTGGAAGGCTGAGGTGGAAGAATTGTCTGAGCCCAGCAGGTCAAGGCTGCAGTAGCCGTGAGCGTGCCATGGGGCTCCAGCCTGGGCAACAGAGTGATACTCCAACTCGAAAGAAATGCAGGTGTGTGCCTTTAAAGTTCGTAACTTGAAGGTATGTATGCAGAAGACTTACTGTAATAAGTAAAGGAATCAGCATTTGAGCCCAAATTTTACCGAAGTCAGAAAACCATCTCAGCAAGCTCCCTATTAACTAGAACCCTATATAGCACCTGGGATACAACAGCAGCTGGGAATCCCATAGAGTCCTGACCATCCACTGTACTCCTGACACAGTCCCTTTTGCCACCCGCTTCCACCCCTTGTGCCATCTACCCACCCAGGGGTCTCCCATTCTCCATCCTCAGGCGAGATGACCCATCAGAGTTTCCAGGTCCCGTATAGTGTGCCCCCATCCTGTGGAGCTCTCACCTAGACCACAGCTGCATCTGGAAAGATGATCCCATCTTAAATGAGAGTAGAATAATAATAGTTTACTAAACAAAGTAAATGTTTATTTTTCTCACACATAAACTTTCTAGGTTGAAGAAAGTTAAAGTCCAGGGCTGGGCTGGTGATTCCAGGTGTCTGGGATTCATACTCTTTCTTTCTTGTTTTTCCATATACACGGTTTCTTTCTTTTTCTTTTCTTCTTTCTTTCTTCCTTTTTCTTTTCTTTCTATTTTATTTATTTCTTTTTTTTTTTTTTGAGTTGGAGTCTCACTCTGTCACCCAGACTGGAGTGCAGCGGCCGCTCCTGGCCACCGCAGCCTTGACCTGCTGGGCTCCAGCGATTCTTCCGCCTCAGCCTTCCGAGTAGCTGGAACTACAGGTGCACGCTACCACGCCCGGCTGATTTTTTATTTATTTATTTATTGTAGAGATGAGGTCTCGCTGCCCAGGCGTGTCTCGAACCCACGGGCTCAGGCAATCCACTCACCCAGCCTCCCAAAGGTGCTGGATTACAGGCTGAGCCACCGAACCTGGCTCTATTTTCTTTCTTTCAAAGGCATGGACAAGGTTTGCCTTTTTGTAAAATTTTATTTTATTTTTGTAGAGACAGGGTCTCTCTATGTTGCCCAGGCTGGTCTTGAACTCCTGGCCTCAAGCAATCCTCCCACACTGGCCTCTTAGCTGGGATTACAGGAGTGAGTCACTGTGCGTGGCTTTAATTTTTGTGGCTATCTTGTCCCAAGTGTCTGCTGGAGCTCCAACCATTGCATCCATATTCCAGCTACAGGAAGGAGGAAATGGGAAAGAAAAGGCTGATCCCTCATACCTGTATACTTTAAGGAAACTTACATCCCAGCCACCCTCCACAGAACAATGTCATCTTTATTCATGGCAGCCACATACCCAGCTAAAAATCTGAATTCTGTTACAAACAAGGAGAATAGATCTTCTCTATCTCAATACCTTATCCATAGGTACCTTTGCCCAGGTCTGCTCTGTGCAGCTATGACCAGCTGGAAGCTGGAGGAGCTGTATTAACTCTTTTGGAGGGAGGTTTGGAGACTTTCACAAGCGGCTGCCTGGCAGGCATTTATCCTGCTTGGCCTGTGAAGGTCAGAGACATTCATTCTCTTGAAGCCACATCATGGCAGTGGTTGCTTTGTAGCCTGATTGCCACTGTACTTTCAAGGTGCCCAGCAATTCGGCCTTCACATCATGCAAAGAGGAGTATATCTGGCAGGGCACAGTGGCTCAACCTGTAATCCCAGCATTTTGGGAGGCTGAGGCGAGTGGATTGCCTAGCCCCGTGGATTCAAGACCAGCCCGGGCAACTTGGTGAGACTTTGTCTCTACAATAAAATTTTTAAAAATTAGCCAGTTGTGGTAGTGCGCATCTGTAGTTCCGACTACCTGGAGGATTGAGGCAGAAAGATCGCCGGAGCCCAGCAGGTTGACACTGGGGTGGTCGTGAGCATGCCACTGCACTGCAGCCTGGGCGACAAAGTGAGACTCCAACTCAAAAAAAAAAGTATCTTCCAGATACTTTTATCTGTAAGATTAGCTGAATTCTAACCACTCCTTGACCCTCACCTCACCCCTGCAAGCACACACCATAACCCCAAGCACTACCACCCACAGATTGGAGAATCAAGCTCATGATTACAAATATGCAATGATATATTTTTGCAGAAGAATGAAAATTAGGATGATGATAAAGGTTTCCTTGGTTTGTACGCTGACCCACTTCCCTGTTCCCTACAATCAGGAAATATTTGTCCCAACACGTCGTTTGTTTGTTCTGTTGCAGGCTCCTGCGGCTGTCTTGTCATGGTATTGTTTGCCTCTGAAGTGAAAATTCACCACCTCACAGAAAAGATTGCAAATTATAAAGAAGGGACTTACGCCTACAAAACGCAAAGTGAAAAATACACCACCTCGTTCTGGGTCGTTTTCATTTGCTTTTTTGTTCATTTTCTGAATGGGCTCCTAATACGGCTTGCTGGATTTCAGTTCCCTTTTGCAAAATCTAAAGACACAGAGACAACGAATGTAGCTGCAGATATAATGTACTGAAAGGCAAATGTTTCTATAATTTTCTAAGTAAGGGAATAGACTTGCTTTGGCCGCTTTTAGATATGGTTAATTTTGCTCATTCTTTTAGATTGCATAAGTTCCTCTGTGACAATGTTTACAAGCTATGCACTAAGGAAACAGGCTAGAAAGTAAAGGAAGCAGAAGGAAGACCTCAGAAAATGTTTGCCTGCTGGGAAATTACTTGACCAGGTAGTCTAAGGCAGTTGACTAGGATAGACAACTTGTTACTCCAAATACACATCAAAATTCAAGATGCCTTTCTATCAGGGAGGAATCAGGAATCGAAAGGTGTGTGGCGTATATTTTAATAAAAACAAATACTATGTCTGATGTATCCACACATTTGTTGCCACAGATGTCAGAAAACCAAGCTGGAGTCGCTTTCCTAAATGATAGTGCATTAAATGAACATCTATAAAACATATCAATGCATTTTTTAAAAAAAGTCTATTTAAAGCATAGTCTATTAACCATGTCTATTAACCATGCTGATAAAAATGTGCAAATCTCTAAAAGAAAAAAAGAGGAAATAACAAAGCTGAGGGTACTTTCCCTCTTTTGCCTAAGTCCAAACTACATTCACAATGGCACTTTCAATGGACATAATTGCTGGGACTACTGAAGAATCAGAAAAAAACGATTCCTTGGCAGGGTGTGATGGCTCAAGCCTGTAATCCCAGCACTTTGGGAGGCTGAGGTGAGAAGATTGCCTAAGCCTAGGGGTTCAAGACCAGCCTGGGCAACTTGATGAGACCTTGTCTCTACAATAAATCAAAAAATTAGCTGGGCATGGTGGCACATGCCTGTAGTTCCAGCTGCTTTGGAGACCGAGGCAGAAGGATCACCTGAGTCCAGCAGGTCGAGGTTGTGGCAGCAGTGACTGTGCCACTGCACTACAACCTGGGTGACAGAGTGAGATTCTGACTTAAAAAAAAAAAAAAGATCCCTACTTGCAAACTTGATGCAAAACGACTTATTGGGGGCTATTGTTTCTAGCTATAGTGTCTCGAGCACTATGAAAGTTGTCTCGAATCTGGAATTATGATGATATCACTGTGTCATCTTGGTCTTTAGACTGGTTACCACCAAGCATGCCCCAAGTTGATGAAATTGATCTGTAGCTGACCAAAGGCCACAGCTGTCCTCTATCCTCAATCTGCTGTTCTCCAGAAAACACCCAGGAAAAAGCAATAACCAAAAAAAAAAAAAAAAAAGACAAAACAAAAAAAGAATGAAAGCAAACATACCACGAGGCTCCTGGCCACAGGTGTCAGGTACTTAGCCCTCATATAAGGGATTTGAAAGCACTCCTTAAAATAAAACACCTTTTCCCTTTTGGAACAATTTACAGGGAAGAAACAACTATTTATATACCTGAGAAAGAAATTGCTCTAATGGTGTAGTGGTGGTGATTTTCTGTTCATAGGCAGACATCAGAACATACCCTGAATTTCCAGATGCCCATCCCTCCACCTTAATTCAGGAAATTTCCAGATGCCCATCCCTCCACCTTAATTCAGGAAATACCCTGGAGAGTGTCTAGAAGACCACGAGTCAGTCTAGCCACCAAGGGGATATTTCTTTGGTAAGGGGCTAGAGCCCAGTTCTGTAAATCTTCAGCTGAAATTGTCAGCACAGCAGCATGGGCAAGGAGGAATGAACAGGGAAGACAAGGACTGACCCCCACCGTGGACAGTTGGTCTGAGGTCCCCGAGGCCGGGTCTCTACCTGCAATCTCATGCAACCTCTCTCCCTCTCCTTAAAGGCTTGGAAAACTCCTTCTAAGATCAAGTTTTTCCTTTAGAAAGCAAGTCTCTGACTGTTCTCTGCTCTTCAAAAAGAGAGATAAAATCTGAAGTAGCCACTGAAAATCTAATGAGGACCTAAGAGGCAAACCAACCATATTCCCTGGAGGGGAAGGAGACACTGCGCTGCGGCAGACACCCAAACAGTCCTGCAAACGCGTCACACACACAACAAAGCCAGAAACAGTGCCCTAGAATCTCCGTCTCTTCCTGCAGATGAAATGTGTGGCCCATGGACCTATGGGAGTCCTCAGAAGAGGGATCTGGCGGGAACTGGCTTTTGTGGGAATCAAAGGCCCCAGGAATGACTCATTTTGCTGTGACCACAGCCCCCTCCCCAGGTGGCAGCCAGCATTCTCACAAGGACATGGGGCCCCCTGCTGGCTCTGGGGTGGCAAACACCGTGCCACAGCCAGGGTGCACGGGTGCTTCACTGTCGCCAGACACCCTCAGCTCCTGGAATGCCAGTGCTGATGATGTTGCCGGAAAGAAGTGGCAAGAAGAATCTAGAGTCACCACCCCAAGGTTGTCCAGGTGAACCTAGCCAAGACAAGACATGTTCACTGGAATAGGAGGAAGCTTTGGGACGAAGTGAAACAAGCCCAGGTGGTGTGTTAGGATGAAGAGGAGCACTCCTTCTGTCTGGGCACCTGACAGTTGACAAAGGTCTTTTGCTTTCAGGGTCCCATCTGTTCTTCCAGGAAAACTGCTCCCAGGTAACTCCACAGGTGTTCAGGGTCCTCAGTGTGGCTGGTGGCTCACACATTGGCACAGTCAGTTTTGGGGGGAGGGACACCAGGATTGGGGTACCACTGCCCCCTCCCAACTCTGGTGGGGGAAGGAGGGGCGCACACTGGCACCAGCTCCAAGGTAAGCATGGCTTGCCGCTAAAATGGATGCTTGTTGTAACCATTTACGTAGAGAAACCTGAATGAGAACCTCTGGAGAATCGAAAGTGGGGGGAATAGGTGATTAACTTCTCTTGCAATTTTCCTCAACTTCTCCCCTCCCAATAAGATCCGGTATCACTAAAAAACAGTGCAGCTGTGGTAGAAATGCTGCTTTAAGACCAGTCCCAAGCCGCTATCCCCATTTTCCTTGCCACCCACGGTCCCTTCTACTTAGATACCCCGGGGCCTGTGGTGCTGTGGTGCCCCATGTTTGCCCTAGTGATGTATCCATTCTCAGACCACTTCAACATGGCAGCTGGTCATGACTCAAGACTGATGGACCACCTCCCCCAGTGACAAGGGACAGAGCAATGCTGGTCCGTTTAAAGAAAAGCTTGCCTGCTCTTTGAAACTTGAGGACAGAGAGAAAGGCTGGGCAGGCCTGGGATCCTGACTTTGGGGCCGAAATTTCTCCTCAGGAAAAGCCCTCTTGCTGATGTAAACAGAATTAAATTATATATTTTTATTGACAGACATTGTGGCCACCTCCCTCTACAAACTCACTTAGGTAACCAGACACATCTGTGGGTGTCAGGGTCAGAGCTGGGATTCACTGACCTATTTGGAAAGTCTGAGGACCCAAGTCAGAAACCTCCAGAGAGTCTCCACTGCCAGTCCCAAAGGACAGTATATGACAACGGTTGGTCATGGAGACCTCTGGGTGGAGGTGAATGGGGCACAGCTACGGTGCTTGTGCCATTAAAAGGCATGAGTCTTAAAGGATTATGTTTCTTTGCCTGAATCTTGGTCTGAGAGATTTCAACCCAGTCTGGAAGTCATAGACAGAATGAGTTACAAGCAGCTGTGTCCCTCACTCTACAAAAGTCCCCTCTTCCCTCTGTAGGCCATGAATCCAATTCTGGAGTGGAGATGGAGGGACAGACTTGTGCGCTCTTACCAACCTTGTTTCCTCTCTTGGATCTGGTTCGTAAGAGAGTGCACAGAGGATGAGGCCTGGCCCCTTCGAGTGGGTCAAGCCAGTGCCCTACCAGAAACACGCAATTTCAGCACATGCAAACTGTCACCCTGTCATGGCATTCTCCTCAGGCTCCAATGTATCATGGACTTTATCTATGCAAAAAAGTGTAGTATAGCTAACTAACTCAGAGGTATGGACTCCAGGACGCCGTGGCTGACTGATTTGCACTGAAATTTGCTGTCTTTCCATTTGGCCAAGTGTTATATACAAGGGGCCTTGACACAGGGAAATTCAGGGTCTGCTACACATCCCAGGCCAGAGGCCCCAAGAGAAGTGAGTGCATAGACTTACATCTACTGCCACATAGGTGTTCCTTTTGCCAGTTTCTTTGCAGTCACCCCTTCCCCATGGACCCTCTGGCTGACACAATGTTGTGTGCCCTCCACCAAGTTTCCTCTTCGCTGGCACAGAGCTAAACTCCATTTTCCAGCCACCTTTGGAGTTGGGGCCTTGTGAGTGAGGCTGTCCCAGCGAGATGTAAGCTGAAGTGACCCATGCCACACAGTCCCCCTCTTCCCTGGTGCTGCAGCCTTGAAAGCTGTAAAACAGAGTCAGTCCTCCCAATCTGCACCAGAGTATGACAGGAATGGTAAATACACTTTCTGTAAAGCCACTGAATTTGGGTGGTATTTGTTTCGGCAGCTTAGCCCAGCTTTGCCTAGCCAATAGGGCTGCATTCTCCAGGAAAGCCCTTCTGCTTTCTGCCATTGAGATGCTTTTCTAGGGATCTTGAAGCTTATCTTGAGGCCAGGTGCACCCTCCACAGTCCCCACTTGGCTGCTGTCTGTGCTGCTGTCCTTTGTGGCCTTCTGGTCATGTTACCCGTTACCTACCAAAAGGAAGACCGGAAAGTGAATTTTCTGCATAAATGTCTAAAGAGCAAATAAACACTTTTGCTTATACTGGTGTCCTTTAGGATTCTTTCCAAGTGTGGATTAATAAACCCTTTTTCATTATTCAAAATAGATTTATCTTGAGTCTACTACAGATGCATGTAAGGCACAGAAGATTAGGAGAGCTAACATAAAAAGTCAGAAAAAAATTTTTTCTACATCTATGGTTGAGAACAGAGAAAAAGAGCCTTCAAGACTCTCTAGTTTATTTTTAACTCTTCAATTTACTATAAAAGAAAAATTTTAAAATTTGCCAGTAAAAGAAAAATCGGGCCACGCATGGTGGCTCACATCTGTAACCCCAGCACTTTGGGAGGCTGAGGTGGGATGATTGCTTGAGCCTAGAAGTTCA